CCTGTTCGTTCTTTCATAAGCTGTTCGCCCCCACACCGTGATTGAGATTTTCATATTGGTGAAACCCCAGTTTTAAATCAGCTGTCTAGGTGGTCAGAGGGACAAGGCGATTTCTAGAAGACTCAAATCCACGAGAAGTGGATGACGGCATATCAAAACGATACAGGAGTGTGAGAAATGGGTTTCCTAAAAAAGGATTGCGGCAGATGAACTCAATTGTAGAATCCTATAAAAATCATTTCGGCATTTTGGTTGACATTTCATGAGCTAGCCGCCTACACTACATATGGTTAAATGTTGAGTTAGAATGCGAATAGAGAACGGAAGAAATGGGTTTGGGGTCCTTGAACTAGGCGAAATGCCTTTGCTCACGTAACTGACCAAAGTGCTATACAACTGAGCAAGCTGTCGGACTCCTCCGTTTAACTGTGTTACAGTGCGTTGTCGAGGGTAACAACTTACTGGCAAACCAAACGAGGATCGAATTTAACCCGAGAAGTGTTGCTGGGAATTTGCATAGACTCCAGCACTGGAGGCCATGACGATGAGGGGTCTGACTGGGATGGAGTAGGTCAAAATTATGACGTTGTTCAGGGCAGTTTGACATTCTCAAACGCAGCGGAGGCGCCGTTAGAGGAACAAACGACACCGTGGAAGCCTCAATGAGATCCATGTGCGGCATAATAATGCCAGCATATTTCGGGATGAGCATATGTGAAGGAAGCAAACAGCAGATACTTTGTGAATTACTACGTGCTTCGAAAAGTAATGCTTAGTGTCATTTTAGTAAAGGTTTCCCGAAAATTTGAGGGAATAAAGAATCGTCAAAGTTTATTGTGATTTGAAGAAGAGGCCACGGTGTTCGTGGTGATAAACTAACGCTGAAATATGTTGAAAAGAAGAAAAATGTGTGGTTTTGCATTTTTTACATAAAATAAAGTTAAATTTTTAAGAGCACCAAAATCAGTTAGAACGAGTTGTGCTAGTTAAGGAGCCATTTTTATGTTGTGTGATTTTGTATACGTCCGTGAAGATGTTCGTTTAAAAGCCGGTACCTCACGGTAACTGAATTATTATAAAACTATGTGGTAAGATGGTTAGTTTTTAAACCTTACTTAGGTTATATTTACGAGTCGAAAACACATTATGGAATTTCAGTCCACATTTCATGAGTTAGCTCACCTACGGTAAGTTGAGGAATATGTACTGTCTAATTTGTCTGCTCGATAGTTGTTTTTTTAATAATCACTCAGTACCTAATCGGCAAAATATTCTAGATTTACAGTTACAACACAGCCGTGGAGATTGTATAGTGTCATGAGGAACGCTATTCACTCCGCTGCATTGGACGTCCTCGGCCACGCACGTTGCGAGCACGATAATAATGGAGCCCATTTTCATCACCAAAAATAAAGGTTGCTAATAGCCTGCGTTAAATGCACTGTTCTGCATAATGTTTATGCTCCCCGTCTATATTTATAGCAGCCAACTAGTCCGACATATGCAAAACTGCAGATTCCGTGGATATTCGGTTGTCAACTGAGAAATAACATCCACACCACTGCATCTGACGTCCTCGGCCGATCGACACCAGTAAAGGTTTCGCGACAATTACATAACTCTCAACAACTTGTCCGCCCAAGCCAACAGGTTGTACAAAGTCTTCGGCAAAAGTTGGACCGATGCAAAAAAGCGAGCTTTTACAGATGTGGCTTAATTGTATTTACACGCTACCCATGTCCAACGTCAGTTTTAGATCTACTCATCGACGCCATGAATGTCTGCTTGCTCACTATTCTGCTCGCAATGCCGGTTATCCCTGTTGCAGAAAATAATATCAGCAAAATTTTATGAGTCCCACCTGACACTTACTAGCGTATAGGAATGAAGGAATTTCTTCAAACCTCAAATATGCAATTTAAACTTTTGAAACTCCGAACGCAAGTGTGATGGTAAATCAGGTCTAGTATTGCTTGGAAATGTAAAACAAATTTTTAAACTTTTTAAGGTATAAAATCCAATGAGGCCCTGATTGTTTACTAAATGGACAAAGGGAAGAATTAAATGATGTGATGCCGACAAAGACAAAGGGAGATCGGAATGGCCGTTTCTGACTTATCACCCATCAGCCATACGCTACCCCAGGTGTGGATCCATTGAGTTTCAAAACTGAGATCATTGGTCATGGAGTTTGACACCGTACCATAGATCATAATATTATTGAGCACGTTTGTTGTAAGATTATAGTTGTATCTATCCCTAGCCTTTTGAAGTGGACGACAGAGTTTCACTCAATTTCCACTGGTCATTGCAGCAGTCGCGTTCTCGACGTAGCGAACGGTAATACACCGGAATATGTTACTCAATGTGTCTTTTATATGCATTTGTTTATTCATATTAACATGAAAAGTAGATGTTTTATCTCACTGCATCTCCACCGAAATTCAGAAATGTGTTTTCGACTGGGAAGTAGCACTGAAGTAGAGTTGCTGTATTAATGACTGCACAATACAATCCAGAAGTAGTTCAGTTACTTCAGAGTGTCGGCGTTGGAATGAGCTTCCTTTCAGCCCTAGATAAAATCAACATTGTGTAAAAGATGATTACTTTGGCATGATTTTCTTTCATATGCTTCCTCTGCTTATATATTGTTAACTGTGCCCGCCGTGGTAATTTTTAATGCTTGATGGAAATGCACATTTCGGTAGTAAGTGTTTCTATTTTCGGTATTTCTTAAGACGGCAACTTTACTTTCATTGTATTCTCGAGTGGAAAGCGCATTCCAAAATTTTAATTAACATTTTGTGGAATAGCAAATCTGCTGTAGGTGGAAATGAGTTATTTTGACTTGGTCAGACGGCGGAATGTCTTGCAAGGGAAATTCGAGAGTACTGTCTCTGCGTCTAAATGAAGGCTTACGTTCAGTCTAATCTTGGCTTATGTGGTTGACAGACACCCCGCCCTGAATTATGTCAGGGCTCTTAGCCAAGCGAATATGCATCTTTGAGATCCTGCGTTTTCGTAGGCCATTGTAAACTTACGACGGCAGAGACGGTAGTCATACGATCAACGCATTCGTTACTATGCTCGCTCAGGGTGTTTGTCTAAACGTTATGGCTTCTTTGGTCTAATATGAATTCCTGTGAGCGACCCCTTGTTACTGCAGGTTTATTATGCTTCATGCTCTAGTGGCGGTGTATACTATTCCACAAGCCTGTTAGAATGTCTATATAAGTATGGTTTTATGTGCGCAGTATCACAGAGCCAGCGGCCGTAGTAAAGAGTGAGGCTTTGTATAGGTATGCTTGCGATATATGCGTGTACTGTATGTACAGTTAGGAACACATCTTTTAGACTTTGAAATGAAAATAAAAATATAAAACAAGACACACGATCGTGATGAGGGCCTTCAGCTTGTATCACCCAAGTCAAACGCTTATTAGTTTTTCATTCGCACACCAGACTCTCCACACGTCTCTCGCAATTTTGCTATTCATAGTTCGGGCTAGTTGAAAAAATGGTCCACCGAGTCCTTCTCATTCAAATAAAAAGTAAAAATTTGCAAGGCCAGAAGCGATTTCCAAATCCCAAAAAAATTTTTTTTGCAAGGCGACGCCATGCATATGGCGTCAGTGAACCGCTTTGATAGACAGCACGCCCCCAAGTGTGGGCGACGACTCATGTGATGTTCTTGGGATTTTTGTGATTAAATTTCTGGCAGAGTAGATAGAAAAAGGCTGGCAGCTGACGACGTTTTCGTCCAATGCATATGTGTACAGGCCAGCATATCATGCCAATGCAGGACTGTGAGTAGGTCGCGATCACTCATTTCACAGTGTTATGCATCGATGGACGATGCATGCAAAGCATACCTCCTGGGTGAGAAATAATAAGGAAGGTACGAGCGACGATCACCCAATGTAAAGTGCTGCGCGAGGGGTTGGTTGGTATGTCAAGACATGCCAAGGATGCCTGAGGAGGGAATCGACCCTTTTTGGTATTATTACAGGCGAAAGACGGTTGTCAATTTAATGTCCCGCCATTGATGGAATTTCAGTTAGTGCTCTACAGAGATGTTAACAAAATATCAGCCAATGAGCCCTTAGCACAGGTAGTCGGCCTTCACAGAAATCATAAGACCACACAGGTATTTAAAATGTCAGTTTATTGAAAGCCAAATCATGCGCAGCTAATGTCATCAGCCAGTGCTTCATTCGTGGCCATGATGGTAAAATTATGATCAAATGCCTATGTGGCACTAGGGAATGCACAACAACGGTTCCCCTATTCCATGAACCTCCATAAATTCGCCGTCTGAGCATGCACGAGAGTGTATATTACGGATTTGCTCTGACTAAACGCATGACGTACAGCTGACCCATTAAATAAAAACCAAAATCCCAAAATGCGTTTATAATTCAAAAAGATTAATGAAGTAGAGTTGTAAAACAAACCATTTGGCAGCATTATTATATAATAATCCAGTAACCTCAGGATGCCAGCTTTTGAACGAACTTCTTTTTCGGCAACTTGATTAGAAAGCAGTTTTTCATGGTTTTTGATGCCCAAAACAATTCTATTTTATTTCTATGGAGAATATGAATGCAAATATCCATTTGTTTGCTCATTTGGTAGAAAATTACGTCATCTAATTGTGATGCTCGAGGAAAGAGTATGATACGGATTTCAAGAGCTTTTCTTATTCCTAAATCATTTTGAAACCGATCTTCCACCATATTCTAATTCAGGGTGTGTAACTACGAAGTGTATATTTTCAGCGTATGGGAAAATATACATTCTCATCTGATATTAAAAGGAGACATCATAAACTTCGTAAAATGTAGCAGTGGATTTGAGCCATATTGCTAACTTTCCTAGCCCGGTCGGTAAATGCAGAGACATGGCGTTTTATGGACAGCCATTTCACGGTTTTAGAAAATCTGTAAATTAGAAACATTTTTAAAACTAATAAACACCTTGCTTTGATGATAAAATTAGAAACATAAGAAAACGAAAAAGAAAAAGAAGAATAAGTAATGTGCTACTGAATGAGCAAACAAATGTGTATCCATGTTTCTAATGAAATATATTTCGCGAATGAAGGCGAAATTTCGAGTTCCAGGTGCAACTAGTGTTCTCTTTGCCATTAAACGATCTTTCGTGGACATAGGCAAAGAGTTATTTGGAAAATTATACGGAGCGTTCATTCGCTCGCATCTGGAATATGGAATCCAAGCGTGGCGCCCGTGGCTAAAAAAAGACAATAAGTTGCTAGAAAGAGTTCAGAGGAGAGCAACAAAAATTGTAAAAGGCCTCAGGACCTTACCTTACGACTGCCGACTTAGGGAACTTAAACTTTTTCCTCTTGAGTACAGGCAGGTTCGAGGAGATCTCATGCAGACCTATCGGATATTGAGGAACCGGGAATGTGCCCTAAACCCCGACGATTTCTTCACCCTGGCCGCAACAACAAACCTGCGTGGGAACTCTCTAAAACTTAGAGAATCCCAATGCCGCCTGGACGTTCGCAAATACTGTTTTTCACAGCGAGTCGTCGGTGGCTGGAACGGGCTTCCCGAGGACGTAATAATGGCGGATACTACGGAGACGTTCAAGCAAAGACTCGATGCATATTTGCTTGGACACTATCGCTTGTCTGAACAGAACAGCTCTGTGGTGCTAAACCAACGCCTTGCATACTCATACCGCTAATGCGGATGACTGTCATAACATTTTACTGAAATCATCTACAAGTGAATGTTCACAAGTTTCGGTTCTACATTTCCACGAAAAATATTCTGTTAAATGTGTATATTACTGACAAAATTTCATTACCATGTTTATTTATAGTGAGATATTGCATGTAACGTTTACAATAGGGTTTTCAAAGGCATTGCCTATTACTCTTAAAATATACTGACCTATACTGACCTAGGTGAAGAAGAAGAGTCGAGCACCGGAACACTTCGCTTATTATCCTGAGCATTCAGTATCGTACAGGAGTCTATCGTCAGATGTAGTGGCAAAAAAAGGACAAACGGCAGTTATAAGGCACGTAGGCCCAATTATCGACCGACGTCGCACGACTGGAGGTGACTACGAAGGGCTCTGTACGCCGGCGCCAGATCGATAAATCGATTGACCGAGTTCTCATCTGAGGCCCAGGCTTCAATCAATTCTCGGCCTGTTTCGTTTCCGGCGTGAGCGACTAATTTGGTGCCTGCGAAGTCATCTGCCAAACAGATGACAAGAGTTCTGATTGACGACTGTCCCCGGCGTTTGCAGAAGTACAAGGCTGAGATCGAGGAGAACATAAGGCAGTGTGTCCACACTCTCGACAATTCTATCGCCACCGATCCTGGGAAGACGATCTCTGCTGTGGCACACTACACGCAAGCCAAGAAGAGAGAAATTTCGGAACGGACACTGACTAAGCTAAAACCACCAGGCGCGGAAAGCTGAAACTTGGTCCACAAAATCTCGTCTAAGCAGCTTACAGAGCAGCAACTACGAGTGTTCCAGCATGGGACTTGTTTCAACACTGCAGATGCCGATCCTGTCGACTTCATTTCAGCCCTGGAATCTATGCTTGTGAGAAGTGAAACATCCGACGACATGAAACACTTCGTCCGACAGCGTGTTACCTACTTGCCGATCACACACAGACCAACCAAATGTATTTCGTAGAGTGAGTCAAAGCCTATGAGGGAACTAAGGATGGACGACAGCATTATCATTCTACCTGCTGACAAGGGACGATCAACCGTCGTGATGAATAGAGAAGACTATAGTGAAAAGGCTAAAGCCCTTCTTGATGACAGAGAATTTTAGAGGCCAGCACAGAAGTCACAAGCCAAAGCAGCGACAGATCGACTGAGTAAACTGCTTAGAGAATACAGACATGAAAATGTGATCACAGAGAATGAATGGCACCAAATGAGGGCAACTGACACCTCTCTAGCCCGATTCTATTGTCTGCCAAAATCCACAAAGCAAATGTCCCACTTCGGCCAATCTTTGCCCTAAAAGGCAGCCACACTTACAATTTGGCAAAGTGAATGTACTCAAATCTGAAGTTGCTCCAAGGCAATTCGTCTACCTCAGTTCGATCAGCATCTCAATTCCTCATAGACCGCCGAGGGCGGAGAATTCAATCGGACGAAATCATAGTGTCCTTCGATGTGACGTCGTTATTCACATCCATCCCACCAAACGTGGCCCGCGAAGTCTTGCGCAAGAGACTTGAAGAGGCGTGCGATGAGACTCAGAATGCCCTCAAAATTGATAACCTCCTGAGACTGTTTGAATTCTGCCAACAAACTTTCGTCACTTTTGCGGGAGAGACCTATGAACAAATCGAGGGAACTCCAATGGGCTCACCGGTCTCCGGTTTGGTGGCAGAACTGGTCCTTCAGGAGTTAGAAAAGATCGCCTTCCTCCAACATGAACCGTTGTTTTGGCGCCGCTACGTTGACGACATGTCCTTCATCGTAAATAAGGACATGCTACAACATTTCCACAGCCTGCTCAACGCAATGTTCCCTGATATAAAAATCACGACGGAGGAAGAACAGGAACAGCAATTGCCTTTCCTGGATAAGCTCGTCAGACGAAACCTTAACGGTGAACTTGAAACGACGGTTTATAGGTAGGCAACGAAGCAGCACACAGCTTCTCAGTTTTCACAGCAACCATCCAGTGGCTCACGCAGGAAGCTGTTTGAAGACGCTCTTCAAACGGATCCAAAGCCATTGCAGCAAACCGGAGGACAGAGCACGTGAGGCCTCTTATCTCCGCGACCAGTTTGTGCAAAATGGCTATCCGAGAGCATTTATAAGTCGCTGCCTACGCGGTCGCCGCCAGAGAACTCGAACGTCAACGCCACCGACGATATGACATTATCTGCGATACATCAAGGGTGTTTCAGAAGCGACCGAGCGCATTGCTGCGGAGCTCGGTGTTGGAATTGCACACCGCCCCAAAGCCACCATGCGCAGCAGGGTCATGAAAATCAAAGACCGGCTAAAATCTGAAGAGCAAGCTGGAGTAGTGTATCGTATTCCGTGCAAAAATTGTCCTTGTAACTACACAGGACAGACTGGACGCATGCTCGGATCGCGCATACACGAACATAACCTGGCTGTGCGGCGAGGCAAGGCACTATCACAAGTGGCCGCCCAAACCTACGAAATGGGTCACGAGTTTAACTTCGCAGCCACCAAAATAGTCGCCTACGCCGGGAGCAAAACAGGCCGAGAAATGATTGAAGCCTGGACCTCAGATGAGAACTCGGTCAATCGATTTATCGATCTGGCGCCAGCGTACAGAGCCCTGCGTAGTCAACTTCAGTCTTGCGACGTCGGTCGATAATTGGGCCGACGTGCCTTATTACTGCCGTCTGTCCTGTTTCTGCCACTACATCTGACGCTAGACTCCTGTACGTGACTGAATGCTCAGGATAATAAATAAAGTGTTCGGTGCTCGACTCTTCTTCTTCACTGTCGATCATACATGCATCGAAAGTCTATGCTAATCAAGTAGTAATCAAGTTTGTATGCTTATCAAGTAGTCACTCTTTACAGAGTGAGCTTTTTACATGCAAGCTGAAGAAAGTTCTTTCGAAATCCGGTGTCCTGGGGTAACTTAATTATTGGCAGATTATGCTGCAAGCTAATTTATTTTACAATCCTACTTAATTATTATTCCCAAAATGAAAAAGCAGTTAGGAATTCCGGTTGACTTTTCATGAATTAGCCATCCTACTGTCCAGTAAATTTGCAATTTCGTGAAATATTAACCGAGATTCTGAAATGCTTTTTTCGGCTCAAAATTGTTAGTAAGCAGAATTGTTACATTAAATGTCATACAACTTTATGCAACAATATCGAAGTCACGTTTAAACGGGAATATTTCCAACCGTCTATAAGGCCCGCACCCTGAATTTATCTCAATAATTATCTATGATGTTGTAAAGTAAAATTAAAGTTGCAAGAAAATGCACAAAACGTTCCGCTATTCTACACATTTGCATACGTATTAGGCCTTATCAGAATCTGGTGCGTGATTGGGGAGTATATTTTATTATTAAAATTCTGTATAGTCATGCAAAATTAAACACTTTCAAACGTCCATTTGTAAAGCATCGTATGTTTAAGTGTAATAATGTCGCTAGCAAATTATCCTTCCTATTTCTAGTCCACTGCAAAATTTCATTTTCCCATTATGACAACTTTAAATTTAAGTCCAAAACTGAGCACCTATTACACTGAAAATGTTTAAGTTGAGTTTTTCGAGCCCAGAATGGGCGCGTGATGACGGATCACGTTCCGTATTAATCGAGGATAAAACAAGATTTTTAAAAACTTGATTATGGTCTCCGGAAAGAAACTCGTTCGGAATGCGGCATTCCGATATCACTGAAATATCTTGGGATTCTACTGCAAGATCACCCATGTTTAATACCTACTTTATTATTCTTTTTATATCGGAAACACATTCATGGATGTTGGCTGGCATTTCGGTAAACGACACATTTACCGTAGACGGCGATGAATTTATTGACTCCACTAGTTATTACATGCTGTTGTAAATTCAAATATATTGTGCGAGAAAATGCACAAAACGTTCCGTTATTTTATTCATTTGCAAACTCACTACGGCTTATCTGAATCTGGTACGTGATGGGAAAGTATATTCCATTATTAAAATCCTTTGTAATCATGAATAATGTGACACTTTGAAACGTCCACTGATAAAAAATCGTACTCTTAACTGCATTGATGTCGCTCGTAATTTATTCTTCTTGCTTCTAATCCACAACGAAATTGCCTTATCCCATTATGACAACTTCTGATTTGTGTTTAGGAATTTAGGATATCTGACACTGAAAACATATACCTTAGAGTTTGGAAATCCAGACTGTATGTGAGATGGCAGATGGGGTCCCATATTAACCAAGAATAGAACAGCCTTTCTAAAAATCTCAGTATGATGGCCGGAAACAAACTTGTTCGGAGGGATGCACCCTGATAGGACTAAAATATCTTGGGGTTCTGCTGCAAGATCACCAATGCTTAACACCTACCTCAATATTCCTTCTGAATCAGAAACACGTTCAGGGATGTCGGCTAGCATTTCGTGAAAGGACACAGTTACTACAAGTGGCCCTGGATTTGTTGACTCAGTGAGAAGGTGGATCGTCTTGCGTAGCAGATTCAAGAGTTCGCTCTCGGCGTCTAAATCGGGGTTTACATACCGTCCAACCTGGGCCTATCTGGTCGACAGCAACCACCGTGCCGAAGTCAATCATGGTTTTATGTCATCTGCCGTTTTTCAGTGAGACGCTGCAGCCTCACAAGCTATCGAAAACTTACTAAGACAGATATGGCGGCCATACGGTCAGCACATCCTGCCTGACTTTTGCAGAGGGCGTTTGTACAATTCTCCAAGTCACTCTGGCGTGGGTAAAACTACCGTCAGTGATTCCGTGTCATGGATCGTTTTTCAAGTTCCATAATCCAGTGATGACTCATACTATTCCACTAGCGTGATAGGATTACTTATCAGAACAGTGTTATCGGCGAGAGCAAATGAGGCAGTATCGCGAAACCGGGGGCACTGCCATAGACTACGCCTTCGTGCGTGCAATTTGAGTAAATGAATGAGTGTTCACACACAGTAGGTGGGCTAAGTCATGAAATGCCAGCCAAATTTCGAAATGCGTTCCCGTTTCGAAAAGATTAATTAGGAAGGGCTGCAAAACCAATCGTCATGCAGCATAATTGCACAGTGATCCAGTTACCTCAGGGTGAAGGCTTTTGAATAAACTTCTTTCCCATATCGCGTCGGCGAACCTGATCGCATGCAGTCGCAAAAATTTCATTCGAAAGCCTACACCATGTTGTAACTGGATACTGATAGAATTATGCTGCAAAATTATTAGTTTTACAACTCTGCTTAATTAACCTTTTCGAAACGCGAAGGAGTTTCGAAATTTCGGCTGACGTTTCATTAGTTAGGCCACCTGTTGTATGTCCTAATATTATACGTACCGTAATGTCTGTCAGATTTCACATCCCAGTTTAGCCATTTGCGGTTCGGTTAGTTGGATAAATCATCCTGTGCGTCTTTCGACAACGCATGAAATATAAACGCATGCAGGGCACGCAGAGATATCCGGATTCCAAATTAAATTTTCTTTCAGAGGACACAACGCATATCGCGTCGGCGGGCCTGATTTAATAATTATTTCGTCTGCAGAATGTGGGCGGAGGTTCATGTGATTTTCTTGGAACTTTCCTGATGTAATTACTATCATGCTAGATAGAAAGATCACTAGACATCTACATTCACTCTGATTGCAAGACTGACGTCCTTGCCACAGAGAAAAATTAAATACACATACGTCGGATCTATATCCGTCGGGTCGATCGTGACACAGAATTGTGGATAAAGGACGCAAAGTCTGGACAGTGCATCAGCGACCTTCAACATGACGTATATGTGTGGTGAACTGGAAACTATGGTACGGTTGACGGATATAGCATGTGTTTTGCTAGTGGGAATGCTTTGGTGGTCCGTGAATTAGACAAGTTACCTGTCGTCGCTAAAGTGCCGGATGTTTTTCCTAGCTAAACGGACGGTCGAAATCCTTTGTTCAAGTATGTTATAGCACGATGCTTTGGGGGTAGCCTTGTGATGAAGGAAGATGGTGGCCGAATTTGACCTGTCAGGTATTGCTGTGGAATCACGTAAAGATCAGTACTGAAGGTTCGAGAGAAATGGAGTGGGTCAGAATTGCGACATCGTCAAGCAGCTTCTACCTGCTCGAAAACCGCTAAGGCATCCTAGGGAGAGAGTCATACGGCACTATGGAAACCCAGATGAGGTTCGTGATCGGCAGAATGATGTCAGCACAGTTTGGAATGAGCCGTATATGTCAAGGAGGCAGGGAATAGTTTTGCGTGGATTTCTGCGACCCTCAAAAGATGATGATTTATATTATTTACGCAGGACTGTGTCCGAGATATGGAATGGAGAGAGCAGCAAACAAACGCAATGACAGTTGACGAATAGGTCACAGTGTTGATGGTTGCACAACACTTCTCTGAAATGCTGCGTGCGTTGGCGGACGCTAGAGTTGGTCATTTGTTCGCTATCAGTCTAAGCGCAGACAAATCGTGGACGACAAAACGCTTTGTCTAAGGATTATAGGAAGGTTTTGAAGTGTTGTTGATTGCAAACGATATGCATTGAAATTCATTGGAAGCAAAGATAATTGATTGTTATTTTTGCAACGCTGTGTGGAAGTGGGGATCGGGTGGAATCTCCGGACGAGACTGATCTTGAAATCTAGGGGGTACCTGCTGAATGGCGGGCAGGAAGATTACCAAGACGATGTAGGTGCCGCATGTGGGCCAGTCAATAGTGGTCGCCTTGAGCGTCGCTTGGAGGGGCGAGGTCAAATGGCTCTCACATTGCCGCACGATGTCTATCTGTATCATATGCACGAAGCCAGTCTTAGCGGCAGCCACGCGAGCAGGTATGAGAATTCAGCACCGGACCGGAATCCTCAGCATTCACACCATGTTGACGTGACTACTACTACATTGGAGAGGCCATCTCATGACAGTGGAAGGCAGACGTACACCAA